GTGTGTGTGTGTGTGATGTTGGGAGAGAGAGTGTGTGTCTGTGTGCATGCATGCGCACACGTCTCGTGGAGTTGTGTTTCCGTTTCTGTCTACAGGTCACATTTCTCATTGGGAAAAGAAAAAAAAAAACATGGTTGTTGCCTTGTCACAAATTTGTGGCTCCACATAATTTATTCTACTTTCTCTCTTAGTTTCATTATGTATTAATAAAAGTAAAATGCCTTATTTAGCTAGTATTTCTTTGTATAGATATTCTGTTACATCTCGTCATGTTACGGTGTTAGCGTTCAGTCCGATAAGCGTTCACAGCCTCGCTGATGTGCATTATGTTGAAAAGCAAAGGTACCACTGTCCCAACCACTGCGTTAATCCCCTGAAGTCAATCAGTCGTCGCTCAAAGCACAAAACGGAGAGTGAACAAAAAAAAAAAGTGACTGTTTCCTAATCAGTGCCTCGAAAAATCACCTTAAATAGTTTCTGTCTGTTGTGGGCGGCACCTGCACACGACGTAAACATCACACCCCTGTTGGAAAAGTGATGAAAGTGTTGGATTTCACTCTCGGCAGACGAGGCAGCGCTGGTGGTTGAGGGGAAATTTAAAGATGAGAGCGAAGGGTGTGAGCCTCCTCCAGGTTTTCAGAGACAAAGCTGAAACACTTCCTGTGTAGTCGACTGTTCATCCCTGTGACTGTTGTAGTTGTTTTAAAATTAAAAAGAAATGTAACCTCAACACACGGTGTATTTTCTATGGAGCCTATTTAATGAACAGATGTGACGTGAACTGAGAGGATCGAGGATTTTTATTCGTTAATCGTGTTTAAACAAATCGTCTTTTCTGAAACTGGTAGAAAATATTGTTGCCCATTCAAATCTGATCTCAGCAACGTCAACTCTGACGGACTGCCGGCGTCTCTGAGTCTCCATATCTGAAATTACATAGATCCAAAATATATGAATGAAAAGATCCACTGAGACAAATGTTGCTGCAGCAGTTGCAGGAATATCCAGGGAACTTTCTTCTTCTGTGGTTTTTTTTTTTTTTTTGGATGCCTTGAGGAGGTTCATGCTCTTTTCTCTCTCACCTGTTGGTGGAGAACAAAATACTTCACCTTAATGGACGGCTGTTCAACCCGCAGACTAAAATAAAGATGGACGATGCATCCTCACTAACTACCATCCAGAAACGAAGCCAAAACGTCTTGCACCAGTGACGTCATTCGAATTCTGTTCCGTTGTGATCGTGGCGTGGAGCCTCGTTAGCTCTCGACCAATCGCATCATGACGTAACTAAAACCAAACTAATCAGAACTACCTAAAATGACAGAAACCACGTTTGAGAAACATTTATTTAACTTCTACTTTGATTTTTTTCCTCATTTGAAGTTTCTCCCATCCACTAACGTGGAGGAGGCAGGGCACATGACCTATACTACAGCCAGCCAACAGGGGGCGATTGAGACGTTTTGGCATCACTTTTGGAGCCATCACGTCGTCCATCTTTATTTACGTATTAAATATTTGATTGTTCTTGTCTGTTGGTTGCTATTCCATCACTGAACCATTAGGGGGAGCTAGTCGTGTCCCACAGCTGAATTATCAGAAACTCACTTCCTGTAGCCGGTGTCTCCTCGTGTAGAAACTTGAATGGAAGCCGGAGGTCGGTCTGTGTTCATGTCACACGCATGGCGACAGCGTGGGGGGG